TGACGAGCGAACACGATGAGTGAGTGAGTGAGTATGGTTTTACGCCGCTTTTAGCAATATTCCAGCAATATCACGGCGCGGGACACCAGAAATGGGCTTCACACATAGTACCCATGTCGGGAATCGAACCCGGGTCTTCGGCGTGACGAGCGAACGCTTTAACCATTGGGATACCCGACCGCCCCTTGATCACGATCATGAATGAAAGGTAAGGCTAAACTACGAGATGGGGTAGCATGGGGGGTCAGCCATTGACTTGTGCGGAGGACACGGGCTTGATACCTTTGTGTCAGTCATCATAGATAACGCCATTTTACCGTGACACGTACACAACCGTGACGTTAGACATGCACCAATGGTTCTTGGATTTCTTAGCTACTTCTATGTTAATATAAAATTGATAAACTGGGTAAAAAAGATTGCAAGTGTCTGAAGGCAGCTTTTACAGAAGTCCAATGATTAACTGGAAACACTTCCGTCTGTAACTAAGGTAAATCCTATAACATCTTTGGAAATATTACCACAAGTTAAAGTTTAAGGTAGGGGTATGTGTCATGTGAATATAGGTTATAGGAATATAACTCGACTGAGGGCCAAAAGAAAGTATACCGGTGTTGTTGGGTTTTTTTAAATTAAAGCTTGAAAGAACTGATGTTACATTTGACTGTATATTTAACCATCACTCATTCCTGCAACAGTTTGTCAAAAGTAATCAGTGGTAAGCTAATTTTGTGAAATTGGTTCAATGTAGACATGGGTAAGAAATGAGTTTGCAACCACATGACCTCTACCATGTTTGAAATGTTTATTGATATATTGTATTATTCAATTTTATTGATTTTCAAAGATAAGATATCTAAGACACACATCAGCACTTGGGTATTATTATTTTTAAATTTTAAAAGTTTTAAATTAAATTATATTTTAAAACATAAAACATGTAGAACTATGATTTGAGTGCTGACTCAATAAGCCTACGCCCGAAAACCAAAAATCACAATTTACCATGCTATATAGAGAATACTACACTCATTCTCGTTAGATACCATTTTTACGAAACGAGTGGACTTTCTATGGTATCTGACCGAGCAAAATAAATAAACAAATTACCATGCCACCCTCACACCACCCACACCTACCAGAGACCATCTATTATATGGTCTCTGCCCATACCCACCAGTTGGAATTGTTAAGATCCCTTGAAGGCCTTCGACGTATCATATCTCTCTGCCACTACGCAGTGGTTCCTTACTCTTCGAAGTTGTTGAGGGATTCTAGAGTTTAGAGTGATGTTGGTATCCTTTACTTTTTGCCTTAGTCTTCTCCATATCGGTTGAATATGTTTGTACATACCATGACGTGAGAGACTGTTGTTTCCATGGTTTCAGGCGGTGTGTGGCTGGGGGCGAGCGACACTGCCCAGGAGGGACAGTTCATGTGGACGGATGATACTGAGGTTGTAGACCCTATGTGGCGTGATGGCGAGCCGTCCAATACCTTGGGCATACAAGACTGCTTACTGATTGGCGATGACAGGCTGTGGGATGACGTCTGGTGCCAAGAAAGTCATTTCTTTTTGTGTGAACTCCAAACAACGTCATGCTTGTAGAGACTGTATGGACACCACAGAGTGAAACATCTTCTGTATTTCTAGCTATAAATGCTTTACGAATTCATTATTTGATAAAATAGTACTCCATCACTGAATCTTCTATTTGAGACAGGGCGGTCGGGTGGCCAAGTGGTTAAAAGCGTTCGCTCATCACGCTGAAGACCCGGGTTCGATTCCGACAAGGGTACAATGTATGAAGCCAATTTCTCGTGTCCCCCGCCGTGATATTGCTGGAATATTCTAAAAGCGGCATAAAACCATACTCACTCACTCTATTTGAGAATATGATTTTTATTTGTCCCAGGAAGCACGGACGGACAAGTCATCTAAACGTGTTCGTTAGCCGTGAATTGAGTAATGTCCCTTAAGAGTGCAGAATCATTTGATTCTGGGTTCGAATCCTAGCTTAACCCTGATTACAACTCCAGGTTAATCAGCATCATATCTCTGCTCGTGGATTTCACCAACATGGTGAAGATCTACTTCAATCGGACTTTCGTACATTTCTTAACACCCTGTGATATAAATGTTAAAGTGTCATTAAACCCAACTCACTCACTCATGACTGGTCCAGTGATGCGCGTGAAGAACATCACCTGTGTATGGATTCTAATGGACACGACAAACTGTGTTGAGTGTAAAGCGCATCACATATAGGGAGTCTGCTGGACACTGCAATAACATAAAGACAACAAAAAACATTCCATAATCATAAGAAATGTTGTCCATTGTGTACGTTTCCGACTACATTATAACCATGTGTTTGTGAATCAGTATCGAATAGTGATGATACCAGGTGTTTGCGAAAGGTGACCCACTGGTGGCACCCGTCACAAACACATGCAAAGGCAGGTCAACTGTTCACCTGAAAAAAAACAAGGTAACAATTGCCTACAAGTCAAAACAGGAAATTGCATCGGGCATAATTTTTTTGACTGACGTGTCAAATATGGAAATGTCCTGCACATGTATATCATGGAACTCTTGAAACGTTTTGAAAGCTTTACTGATGCCTTGAATGTTGTAACCCTGATCAAAGAACTTTTGAGCAAGAGTCTTATGACCCTTTATGAGATCTTCGTTGATAGAGCATGCTCGATTGTACCTCCAAGGTTGTGAAATGTAGACACCACAGACACCGGAACTGCAGGAATATTGCTCGACGTATAGGGAAAGTTGATAAACTACTACTTGAAGTCATCCTCTTGTCATACATTCTTGTGGAGAGTTTCTCGTCACTCTGAATCTTTATGCATAGAAGCAAATAAGAAACAGTTGAGGCGGTTTCACTGATGTCTTTTATTTTCTGTTCTGGTGGTTAAATCAAAGGAAGGGAATTGGTTATTATTGAGCGATAATAGATCATCAATATTGAATGTACGTAAAGCGCATCACATACGTGTATATGGATTCCTCTGGACATTGCCAACAGTACTGCATGCATGTAAGTACAAATATAAACCGTCAAAGCCAGATAGTTCTCCTGTTTCATATCTCTCTATGGCATCGCTGTTGTCCATGTTTCAAATATAGGTGCACGGGAACCTTTATCTCGTCGATAGCCTATACAAGTTTCTGTGTTGTTCAATAAAGGTTACCAAGTATATCGTGCTCGACTTCGATATGTCCGCTGGTTTGCTGTTAAAATAGGCTTGTTCCTTTACTGTTGTAACCAACAACTCTCAATATATTCTAATTCCAATATTCCACCTTCCTCACAATCCGAACGTTTGATAAAGTCAAGAAGAGCCGAACAGATTGTTTGTGCAACATAGGTTTGTCAGTAAATTCAGTAAATCCAGTACATCCAGTACATCCAGTACATCCAGTACATCCAGTATCTCCAGTGTCTCCAGTAAATCCAGTACAACCAGTAAATCCAGTACATCCAGTAAATCTAGTACATCCAGTAAATCCTGTACATCCAGTAAATCCAGTACATCCAGTACATCCAGTATCTCCAGTACATCAAGTAAATCCAGAATCTCCAGTACATCCAGTACACCCAGTGTCTCCAGTACATCCAGTACATCCAGTGTATCCAGTACATCCAGTACATCCAGTAAATCCAGTACTTCCAGTTAATCCAGTAAATCCAGTACATCCAGTATCTCCAGTACATCCAGTAAATCCAGTATCTCCGGTAAATCCAGTAAATCCAGTACATCCAGTAAATCCAGTAAATCTAGTACATCCAGTAAATCCAGTACATCCAGTAAATCCAGTACATCCAGTAAATCCAGTACATCCAGTACATCCAGTAAATCCAGTACATCCAGTAAATCCAGTACAGCGTCTCCAGTAATCCAGTACACCCAGTAAATCCAGTACATCCAGTAAATCTAGTAAATCCAGTACATCAAGTAAATCCAGTACATCCAGTAAATCCAGTACATCCAGTAAATCCAGTACATCTAGTACATCCAGTAAATCCAGTAAATCCAGTACATCCAGTAAATCCAGTACATCCAGTATCTCCAGCGTCTCCAGTAATCCAGTACACCCAGTAAATCCAGTACATCCAGTAAATCCAGTAAATCCAGTACATCAAGTAAATCCAGTACATCCAGTAAATCCAGTACATCCAGTAAATCCAGTAAATCCAGTAAATCTAGTACATCCAGTACATCCAGTAAATCCAGTACATCCAGTATCTCCAGTACATCCAGTAAATCCAGTATCTCCGGTAAATCCAGTACATCTAGTATCTCCAGCGACTCCAGTAATCCAGTACATCCAGTAAATCAAGAACATCCAGTAAATCCAGTAAATCTAGTACATCCAGTAAATCCAGTACATCAAGTAAATCCAGTACATCAAGTAAATCCAGTACTTCCAGTAAATCCAGTACATCCAGTAAATCAAGTAAATCCAGTACATCCAGTATCTCCAGTCCATCCAGTACATCCAGTATCTCAAGTAAATGCAGTAAATCCAGTACATCCGGCATCTCCAGTAAATCCAGTAAATTCAGTGCAAATGTAGGTGCACGGGAACCTTCATCTCGTCGATAGCCTATACCTATTTCAGTTTTGTTCAATAAAAGCCACCAAGTACATCCTGCTCGACTTCGATACATTAGCTGGTTTGCTGTTAAAATAGGATTGTTCCTTTATTGTTGTAACCAAGGCCTATACTCTAATTCCTCTATTCATCTTCCTCATATGAGACCGAGCACTTAATAACGTCAAGAGGAGCCGAACAACTACATGTAGTTCTCACAACATTTGTCAGCACATCCAGTAAATTCAATGAACATTTTGTTTGTGTGGAAAACATGAGGCAAAATATTTATTCAAGTATTTTTTGGAACTATATATTTAAAAAAAAGACAATCAGCCTCCACGCCAACTCGCCACATAATAGCAAATGGTTGATAGCTAAGACATCAATTTAAGTTCCTTTTCTTCATATCAGGAGTTTCATTTTGCGATGCATTGAACATGCTAAGGACTTTCTTAACCAGCCACACCAGCACGAGGAAACTACAACAGCACAACAGAACACTATCTATAGTCAGAACATAGTTGTACCATAGAGGGGTAGCCTCTTGCATCAGATAGCCAATGATCTGAGGGTTGACCATTCCTCCCAGGCCGGCGGATACGAAGATGACAGACATAATTTGTCCTGACAGTTGCACAAAGTCCTTCTCTATCCACGTCAGCATGGCGGGGAAACTTATCGAGATTGAAAACCCGACAGCACAAGTAGTGATCCATATGCCAACATCAGAGAGAAACATTCCAGACAGGATCATCCCCACCTGCGCCACGATCAACAAGATGAAGAAGAGGCCACATATCTTCATATGCGAGACGTAGCTGATGAAGAAGATGGCGGCAAGACGACCAAATGCATACGCAGCCCAGAACGTGGAGGTAATTCTTGCTCCCATGATCTTTGTCCACTTGAACTGTTTGACCACGTATGAGGCCAGGAAGGACACGGACGAGTCCTCAACTTCGTCCAAGAAGAAATAGAATATACCCAAAAGGCCAAGCGTGAGAACTAGTAACTTCCGGGATAACTTTTTCCCTTGTCTTTTACCATCCAATGCCTCAGTAATCTCCTCATGTCCCTCCTTTCTGGCAAAGAAGAAGACAACCAAGAAGGGAAGAGAGGATAGGATTGTCATTAACCCTGTCATCAGGAATGGCCATATGATGCTTGTTTCCAACGGCTCCTGTGGTGGTATGACCGATGCATTAAGAAGACCTCCTGTATCTGAGTTATTGGCAGCCGTGGAGTTTTGAACCACATCCCTCCCGACAGCTAGGAAGGGTTCAAGGACAAAGGGGGAGACGATTCCCCCTAGTGACCATAAGAAATGGAAGGCCTGCATGTACGGCTTGATCTCAACTCCCCACACTCTGAGAAGCTCCACGTTACTGCCTGCAAGACAATGTATTATTAAAATATTATTTCAATACCTCAGATTACTGAGGTAAGAAAAGAATTTGCAACCACATGGTCCCTACCAGATTTGAAATGTTGTGAATTTATGCCGAAAAAGCAAATTGATTAATTTTAAAAGATAACATGTCTAAGATACCCATAAGCAGTTGTGTATAATGCGAAATGTTTCTTTTTTTAATTTTTAAAAGTTTTAAATCAAATGATATTTTAAAAATTAAACCATATAAAAGTACTCCATGAATGCTAAGCGCCAGTAAAATCCTTTTTTTTAACTTTCGATATTTTCAATTGAAAATCAAACATATGATGAAATCAAACGATGTATAGTTTCTATTGTTCCTCAGTTTAAGTTTTATCCCAGGCCTCTGGCTCGACACTGAGTACCTCTATGGTAAAGCAAATATAAACACTTTATTTTTTCACAGTAGCACTATTGCTAATAAGAAAATGAAATTGGCAGGCGTATACATTTGAATTCGTCATAGTTAATAAATGTTCTCTTATTTTAATATCTGTAAATCTTCAAAGAAATAAAATTGTTCGTGCCAATTGACAACACAGTTTATGTTGAAAAATTATCCCTCACTTTTTTCAACTTGTAGTTCTAAATTGTACATAATTTAAAAAATGGCAAGAAAATATATCACCATGTTTAAAGTTCGGTCCGACACTAAGACATTAATGAATAAGAATAACATAATCCATCATTTACAGGATGTCGTACTTGAAGATACTGATTACAACTGGTCTTCAGAAACCCATGCTTGTCGCAAGAGGCGGCTAACGGGATAGGGAGGTCATAATCGCTGGCTTGGTTGATGCATGTCATGTCATCAAAATAAATACGGGTGGTGCTCAACCTTTCCCCATGAATGTATTGTCGTAGTTGCTAGATAACGGCGTAAATGCCCACTCTTGTACAATACAAATTAGACAAACATCTGCTAGGGAATGCAATAGTCTATCGATCGGATTGGGAGAGAGATGCTTCAAAATATATATCTCCTTACGTGACAATTAGGTTAACATATCAATAACGGACCCAATAAGTGTGCAACTGTGCAATATTTCTAAAAATTCTATAATTTCGACCCTTCTTAAATGGAACAAATATGCCCGTGGCAGTAACTTAATTGGTTCGAGAATACGAATATGAAATGTTAAATAGATTTCTTGAATGATTTTTTTCTCGCGACGTTAACACAAGTACTCATCGGGAGACCCATATGGATGCTGTACTGTTAGGGACTGTTGTGAATTGGTTGTTCTGTGTCCCAATTTGTCTCTTCTGTTTACCTAATTGTCATAACGATTATCGGTAATTAATGCTGTACCGTGACAAACTGTTGTGTGTTTGTAGTACTGTGTCCCACTTTGTCTTCTCTTTACCTATTCTTCGTAACGACTATCGGTAATTAATGTTCTGATCCACATTAAACGTGATATAACGATTGCTATTTAGAGGTAAACGGGTATCAGATACTTGATCTACGTTTTTCAATTTTCATTAATTTGTATTTGGGATAACAAGTTGTTCTCCAATCAATGCCAATATAACACATTGCTTCGGAAATGAAACTATTGTAAGCTTTTAAACAAATGAGGACAGGAAGAGGTGGCGTTGGCCGGACAATAGGGAGAGGCACGCCGAGGAAGAAGAGAGGAAGGGGGAGAGGCCGTCGAGGAAGAAGAGAGGTAGAGGGAGTGGCCACAGAGGAAGAGAAGAGAGAGAGGCCAGAGAGGAAGGGGAGAGGAAGAGGGAGAAGCCACAGACGATGAGGGGAGAGGAAGAGGGAGAGGCCACAGAGGAAGAGGGGAGAGGAAGAGGGAGAGGCCACAGAGGAAGAGGGGAGGCCACAGAGGTAGGGGAGAGGAAGAGGGAGAAGCCACAGACGATGAGGGGAGAGGGAGAGGCCACAGAGGAAGAGGGGAGAGGAAGAGGGAGAGGCCACAGAGGAAGAGGGGAGGCCACAGAGGTAGGGGTGAGGAAGAGGGAAGGCCACAGAGGTAGCGGAGAGGAAGAGGGAGAAGCCACAGAGGAAGGGAGAAGAAGAGGGAGAAGCCGCAGATGAAGAGGGGAGGCCACAGAGGAGGGGGAGAGGAAGAGGGGAGGCCACAGAGGAAGCAGAGAGGAAGAGAAGAGGGAGAGGCCACAGAGGAAGGGGGGGGGAGAGGGAAGGCCACAGAGTAAGGGGAGAGGAAGAGGAAGAGGCCACAGATGAAGAGGGGAGGCCACAGAGGATGGGGAGAGGAAGAGGGAAGACCACAGAGGAAGGGGAGGGGAAGAGGGAGGCCACAGAGAAGGGGGAGAGGAAGAGGGAGAGGCCACAGATGAAGAGGGGAGGCCACAGAGGTAGGGGAGAGGAAAAGGGAGAAGCCACAGAGGAAGGGGAGAGGAAGAGGGGAGGCCACAGAGAAAGGGGAGAGGAAGAGGGAGAGGCCACAGATGAAGAGGGGAGGGGAAGAGGGAAGGCCCCAGAGGAAGAAGGGAGGCCACGGGGGAAGGGGAGAGGAAGAGGGGAGGCCGCAGAGGAAGGGGTGGGGAGGCCACAGAGGGAGAGGAAGAGGGGAGGCCGCAGAGGAAGGGGAGAGAAGTGGGGAGGCCACAGGGGAAGGGGAGGGAGAAGTCGCCGAGGAAGAGAAAAAGTTCGAAAGGGAAAATACAGCAAGCCTAAGACAATCCCTATTTGAATATTACGTGATCATGAGTGAAGTGGATTGGGGTTCAAGGTCGCCTTCAAGATTATTGTAATTATACTGATTTGCACGAACATATGTTGTTATATGTAAGTGTGTTTTATTGTTTAAGACTGATTGTAGCTGCGTTGCATTGTTTCTGTTGGGATTCGGTAGGCGCTCATTGCATTGTGTTTGAACAGTCATCAGCCGTCAGTAAGTTACTATATCTAGATGCTAATTCGGTGTGTGAACTCCCGTCCGGAATACCGCGGACGGTGATAGTATACTCAACAACAAAAGTTCCTGTGACACCAATATTTTAGAGTATTTTTCAAACAAGTAAAGTTTGGTTTTCAATATTGTGGTACATGTATGGAATCAAGTCACAAAACACGCAGCTGCTACAGAAAAGCGTGTATTCCTTGCAAAAGTTGACTTTTATGCAAGCCCCATGCATTTCACTACCCAATAATGGGTATAAAACATGTGCGTTAACGGGATTCCATATGCATTGTTTAGCATCGTGCTGACAAAAATCACGCAGAAAAAACACAAATTTACGCAATTATTCAACATTACGAAATGCCACGCCTGTCCGAAAATGAGCGTCTGCGAGCCATTGGTATGCTTGAAGCAGGATCGAGTCAACGTGATGTTGCAAGACAATTTAACGTCCACAGAAACACCATTTGGTGGTTATGGCAACGTTGGCAACAGACGAATGCAGTCAGAGACCATCCTCGGATTGGCAGGCCACGCGTAACTAATAATCGACAAGACAACTGGATTCGAACAACACACCTATGAAATCGATTCCAGCCAGCAACAGTGACTGCAAGAAGCATCCCTGGCCGTCAACGAATATCTTCACAAACCGTACGTCGTCGCCTCAAATGTGCAGGGATTGTCGCCAGAAGACCCGCCAGACGTCCCCATTTTGACAACCGTCAAGCACGTCTACAGTGGTGCAGACAGCGTCTACGCTGGACGGCCATGCAGTGGGGACAAGTTCTATTCACTGATGAGTCTCGTTTTCACCGCCACAGCGATGGACGGATTCGAGTGTACCGACGTCGAGGTGAACGTTACGTCAATCATTGTGTCATGGAAGAAGATCGGTTCGGGGGCGGCAGCGTTATGGTATGAGGTTGGATTACAGCAAGTCAGAGGACCCGTTTGATAGTGGTAGAGGGAAATCTCAATGGACAGCGCTACCGCGATGAGATCATCGGACCTGTTGTTCTAACGTTTTTGCGTCGTCGTGGCCCAGGCATTACCTTTCAACATGACAACGCCCGGCCTCATATTGCTCAACTTGTTCAGGATACTCTTCAACAAAACAACGTGAATGTCATGCCCTGGTCGGCTCGCTCCCCTGATCTCTCACCAATCGAGCACATGTGGGATGGGATGGATCGGCGCCTTCGACGTCAACCACGTGTTGCACAGACACTCCAGGAATTTCGAAAAATGCTCCAGCAGATATGGACAGATATCCCACAGGACTTTGTGCGACGCCTGGTCCATTCAATGAGACGAAGATGTGTTGCTTGCATCGGAACCAGAGGTGGACACACACGCTATTGATTTGTAAATTGACATTTTGGCATATTCATATTTTTATTTTATGAAATCACGCATATTCTGAATTCAGTATGGTAAATTAAACCATTTGAACACTTACAGGAGTCTTTTATCTGTTGCAAACCGAAATTGTTTAAGATTTGGTTAAAAACATAACTTTGCATTAAATCTTATTCAATGTCACAGGAACTTTTGTTGTTCAGTATATGTTATAGCTTTCATGTGAGGATCGCTCATCATCCATGATTCCCTGCCTAGCCCAAGTCAGAGAGTTGAATTGATTAAAGAATCCCTCTTTTGTGTAAGGAGGATATCAATATTTTCAGTTGTTTTTCATTCCAGAAAGACTTTCCTCCTCACAAAGACGGTTTAGCTAGTGTTGTATGTGGTATGGCTCAGATGCACCCACCCTGTCATATACTGAACAAGAAGGGACTAGTGGACACTTGTGGTTGTCTTGGGTGACCTCTGGAGAACTGGCTACCACCAGGATGGTCCTTGCAATGAATAACTGCTACTCAGTCAATGCTGTCTCCCTGTGTGTCAATTCTTTAGCAGTTCTATGTTTACAAAGACAACATGTTAAACAAACTGATACACATCCGCATGTGAATGCATACATAAGTTTATTGTCAATGTTTTGGTGTGTTTTTTCAATATTGCAATATATATGTATAACTATTTTCAAAAGTTTATGCGTGGCCCAAGATATCAACAAAATAATATTGTTTCGTCAGATGTTCGCCTCAACATTCCAAAGACACAACAGACAGCCAGAAAGACAGGACAACTTTGGGTCTGTGGGCTTAGCTGTTTTGAAATAAGTTAGATACACATATCCTATTTAATGGGAAATATAAACAGATCAATGTCAAGGGTGGTCGATCTAAGGTGCCACATTGTGCTATACAGAGTTGTGTCCCTTAGCCATGCCATGATCCGATAATCGAATCTTAGCCTCTTTATGATTATGATTCCTTCACGAATCGGTTCGCCCAAATTATGTTTCTAGGTTTGTAAGAACCATACCCGTGCTCGTGGGTTTCACCAAAGCGGTGAACGTCTGAGACCTGCATCACTTCGGGCTTTCCTCCCACATTAATTTGACACGCCATGATAACTTGAATAATGTTCTAAGCGGAGTTAAACCAAACTCATTCGCTATTTTACAATGACAATATATGTAACGAAAACATTTTTCTTACATTTTAACACACAGGAAATTACAGATGTACACATATTGTCATTTATATAAAAAAATCATTGTATAGTTAATTAGCACACATATAGTTAGCTCTTCGAATTTATACAAGACAAACGGCCTTTGAAATGCTTGAAATAATTGACATGATTATAAACATAATATAAATTCAATCAGAACTTGTTTTAAATATTAGTCTGGTAACATACATATCCTATCCGTATGGTCACAGAAGTTGTCGAAAATTATTGACTTACAGTGGTTCGTTTTGACCAGAAAAATGGGGCGTTTTGACCAAGTTAGCTGGTCCGTTTTGACCGGCATCCGATTGCGAAACGATTTCCAAGGGAGATAACTCCCAAGAAGCAGCACTTTTCATAGCGTTCTGTGGACACAGAAGGCAAGAGGTAAGAGGATCTCAGTTCTTTGCGATAAACGTGTTTAATTATCGCATAGAATCACCGCCTCTCTGTATTACAACAAGAGGAGGGGGTACCGATCGCCACATAGCCGAGTTGATGCAGAGTTTGAACTAGTACTAGGCCTTGATTCGAGTCGGACACTGCTATTGAGAACCAAGTCTTGACTCTCACTCTCTCGTTAACAAATCGTGTAGATGTATACTCTTACTCGGGTGTTTATCATAATTTTAATTATTGATAACTGATGTTTACTCATAATTCGTATTTATTACAGTTCGATTTATGCTAGCCTAGTCCATTTTTGCCTTGGTATGAGTGATTGTGATGTTGTCTTTTTTCTTTAATTCTGCACTCCCCAATATGTCAGCTATATGACGGCAATCTGTAAATAATCGAGTCTGGATAAGACAATCCAGTGATTGACAGCATGAGCATTGATCTACACAATTGGAATATGTAGCAAGAGGCCACTAACAGGATCGGTTGATCAGGCCCGCTGACTTGGTTGATGCGTGTCATCGTATCCCAATTACACGGATCGATGCTCATGATATCAATAACTGGATTGTCTGGTCCAGACCTGGTTATTTACAGACCGCCATCATATGGCTGAAATATTGCTGAGTGTGGCGTTAAACAACAAACAAACATAGCCAAGAAGGGGTCTGTTAGTCAAGACATGACCCAGTATCACGGCCGAGGACACCAATTTTATGAATCATATTCAGCCTGTGGTGGCCGATCTACTTCCAAATAAGTTTCCTATTGATACATGTAGGCCTAGCTGTTCATAATTTTGTTACAACAAATGTAAGTAGAAAGAGTCTTGGAAACCCTTCACTTTGTTTCAACAAGTAGTAATGGTGTGTGCATGCGCTAGATTTCTATTTCCGTAGGTGTTTTCCAGCTGTATGCAGTACTCTCTCTTTCACTACTTACATCGTAGTCCATAGCAGAAAACACACACGCAAAGCAGTCTGTCAGTAAAGTAGTAAAGAAACTGCAATTTAAATAGCTTGATGTAAACAAAGTCTGTCATATTCATTACTGTTATATTTACTACGGAAACAAGAGTGAATGCTTTCCAGGAAATCCCTGCAATTTATTGAAATACGTTGATCTGTGTTTGACCGGAATCAATGTCTTTCCATTTGAGATTTATACAGACATCAATTTGTGAGTTAATTATTTCTCAAAATCAAGTGAAGTCCTTGCTTCAAAAAGGAAAATATCCGATTTTTTTGTAAGGAATGGATCTGGACAGATGGAATGTGTGATAGAAATATTAATGAGACTGTGACATTATAAGAGGTAGTGGTGATGAACTTTCTAAGTGTTAATAAGAAGGTATGTTGAAAACATACCTTTGATCTTAGGTATGTCGTTCATACACTCCCCCAATGGTTGAATGGAAATCCCCCCTTTCCTTAACTGGAAGGGGGCACCACCCCTCATTTGTAAATTTCTGGCAAAGTTTCTGCAGGGAAGACTCTTAACACTTAACATATATACATACAATTTATCTCTAACCATGCTTATTTGCTTTCTGATTCTGCGACAGGTTAATGTTACCTGTTATAGTACATGTAATGTTATAGTACATCTCTGTGTATATTATCACCCTGTATTTAAAATTGTTGAGACATATTTTTCCTGTATAAATTTAGCAACAACCCCCACTTAATGATTCAAACTGTTCACAAATTTATCCCTTGTATATTTTCAGCATGATGAGGAACTTCAATAGAGGACAAGGGGGAAGGATGGGAGGTAAAGGAGGTGGGATGGGCAGAGGTAAAGGTGGTATGAAGAACAGAGGTCAGGGTAGTATGATGGGAGGTCAAGGTGGCATGATGGGAGGTCAAGGTGGTATGATGGGAGGTCAAGGTAGTATGATGGGAGGTCAAGGTAGTATGATGGGAGGTCAAGGTGGCATGATGGGAGGTCAAGGTAGTATGATGGGAGGTCAAGGTGGCATGATGGGAGGTCAAGGTGGTATGAGAGGTCAAGGTGGTATGGGAGGTCAAGGTTGCATGATGGGAGGTCAAGGTGATATGATGGGAGGTCAAGGTGATATGATGGGAGGTCAAGGTGGCATGATGGGAGGTCAAGGTGGTATGGGAGGTCATGGTGGCATGATGGGAGGTCAAGATGGTATGATGGGAGATCAAGGTGGCATGATGGGAGGTCAAGGTGGTATGATGGAAGGTCAAGGTGGTATGATGGGAGGTCAAGGAGATATGATGGGAGGTCAGACAGGGATGAATATGATGACCAACCAAAGTTTTGGTGGTGGCGGCAGCAACCAAATGGCAGACAATAGACAAACTGCGTTTGTTGAGCTCATCCAAAAACAGAGTGAAGTTATTGAAAAGCTTGCAAGTCGTGTTGGCATCACGAACGAGGTGAAAATGGGAGCTGGACCAATGCAGATGGGCCCACGAGGAAGAGGAGGCCCCGGTATGATGGGCCCACGAGGACATGCAATGGGAATGAGGGTGAGCTTTATAAGGAATATATTATTGGAATTTGTCTTCTTATTGCTTCAACGCCTGCATGGGAGACTCTGCAGACTGTGTGTGACTTGAACCTTTGTTTGACTGTACAGTCCACTTTTACCTTGTCACTGTATTATTTGGGACATGGGTTGTCTTAGTAAGAGCAACTGTTATGCCCCTTGCCCATATCAGGATCCTCTGATTAGCAGCTTGAATCCAAGATTCTCCCTGATTATCACCCCTGGTTTGCCAGAACCAGACAGACCGGTATGCTTGTTGTAAGAGTTTACTAATGGGATTGGGTGGTCAGGTTGTTGACTTTGCTGATGCATTCCATCGTATCCAACTTTCGTTGATCGATGTTTATGATGTCAGTCACTGGATTGTCTGGTCCAGATTCCATTATTTACAGGCCCTTGTCATATAGCTGGAATATTGCTAATGCAGTGTTAAACAACGAACAAACAAAACAAAACAAACATCATGTCGTGCAAAGTGACCAAAGTGGTATGTTTCCATCACTTGCATCACTCTGGCTATTCCTAAAATATTAAGCTTACATGCTATGATATGACTGAAACTTTGTTCCAAGTGGCATTAAATTCAACTCACATCGGTTTTATGAAGAGGATGATGCATGCCTCCTTGTTTGATGTTTTCCTGAGCCAATATGCTTATAATGATAATTTTTGGGTCACCCAAAAAATATTTCAGCAACGAACATATTTTCACAATGAACCAAATCAAAATGAAAACAAAACGATGTGAATGGAAAAAAAGGTTTCTCTCTATACAATAGAGGACTTTGATTTGATGAAAGTGTCTACTAGGATAAGTATACCTGCATTATCCTGATTATGTATGTAGTGGTGTGAAAATGTTTGAATGTTCACTGAGAAACTAATGTTTATCCGTAGATTGTTATGCTACAGGCAATGTAGGTTAGAAAAGCTCCCTAGTACTCCATGCTCGTTGTAGCAAGTAACTAATGAGGATTGGGTGGTTACAATGTGTCACCTGGATGATTCATGTCCTGTCCCAATTCACTCACTCACTTACTCACTCACTCTGCTTCAGGGAGATGGACCCAGAGGACCAATGATGCCCGGGCCATTCGGGGGGATGGGAGGTGGACCTAGTGGCCCTTTCCAGGGTGGTCCAAGAGGGCCAGGTCCATTCCAGGGTGGCCCAAGAGGACCATTCTATGGTGGTCCAAGAGGACCAGGACCATTCCAGGGTGGTCCAAGAGGACCGTTCCAGGGAGGCAATGTAAGCACCCTTACCGAATGAATGCATAATGTTTCTATTGCTTTGTTTCATGATAAAAAGTTATGAAGTGCACTCACTGGTATAAGTATTGTTCCAGAGAATTCTGTATTCAATAAAATAATTTATTGAAGAGAAATGAAAATGCTCTGTACGTCTTGTTGTTGGAGACAAGTGATGAGGAACGTGTGGTTACAGTGTGTGACCTGGCTCATCCTACCCTGATGCTCAGCATCAACTGATGCTCAAACTAGCAGGCAGCTGTGGTATGGCTGGAATATTGCTGACTGTGAAAACAGCATTCATCCACCCACAGATAATGTTTAGTCACACTGAATGATGATTGTAGCAGAGAACTGATTGATACATTCAGTTGTATTTCATTTGCACTGTGCATTCTGGAGATTGCCATTGTTGAACAGGATTAAGATTCATGAACTTACCAGATGCAATGTTCCATCTTTAGAATTCCAAGTTAGAATAGGTCCCCAGCAAACTTGTGCTGGTAGCAAGAGGCAACCAAATGGATGAGTAGGTCAGGCTCAGGGATTTCGTTGATTGTGTGTCCTCTTACCGTCTTTATCATTGCTCACAATATCGATTACTGGATTGTCTTGTCAGGCTTGATTATTTACAGGACACTGTCATGTAGCTGGAATATTGCTGATTGAAATATTAAACACGAACAGACAACATGCTTGTTAAAGGTGACTGGAATAGGGGTTGACTTGTCACCAACATTCTTGGAAACATGTTTGTGTGAAAGTCAACCAAGGACAGTATCATACTTACTACCGGTATATCTTCAGAATACAATATCGCTTGCTCTATCCTAAGAGTTTAGATCCTTTTCACTCAACAGAGGTATTTCAACAAACTTCTTCCTGATAAAATGCCTGTCATGTCATGTTTTTAATTGCTTTTTTAACCATTTTTGGAAAAAGTTGTTTAAATGTATAGTTATCATGATTATCGCAATGTGACACCTTATTCTGTATGTAGTTTATGTTCCAGCCATAACACCAAAAGTATTACATTGTTAATATAATGATCTGCTCTGTTCTATTTATTGCAGGAAATGAATGATCCAAAATTCTTGAAAACATGTAAGAGTCCAGAGTTACCCATTGTCAACTACTGTCAACTACTGTCAACTAGTCTAGTGTAGATCATCCTGCCACAGGGTGATGAAGGCTGCTGCTCTAGTAGATCTCTCAGGAAATAACTTGTAGTGACTGGCCCATTGTGGCCATTGTAGAAATCTGAGGGTCATACATCCTCAGGGTAACCCAGCACAGACCTCCAAGCTGACAGAGGTATTATATACAGTGGTATATGTTGGCCTTGGTAAGAGGACACATTGTCCTCAGTGTGACTGCTCCCAGCTAACAGAGGTGTGACACAGTGGTATATGGTGACCATGGTAAGAGGACACATTGTCCTCAGTGTGGGTGTGACACAGTGGTATATGTTGGCCATGGTAAGAGGACATGTTGTCCTCAGTGTGGGTGTGGCACAGCGGTATATGTTGGCCATGGTAAGAGGACGTGTTGTCCTCAGTGTGGGTGTGACACAGTGGTATATGGTGACCATGGTAAGAGGACACCTTGTCCTCAGTGTGGGTGTGACATAGTGGTATATGTTGGCCATGTTAAGAGGACGCGTTGTCCTCAGTGTGGGTGTGACACAGTGGGATATGTTGGCCATGTTAAGAGGACGCATTGTCCTCAGTTTGGGTGTGACACAGTGGTATATGGTGGCCATGGTAAGAGGACGCATTGTCCTCAGTGTGGATGTAACTGCTCCCTGCTGACAGAGTGAGTGAGTGAGTTGGGTTTAACGCCGTTTTTAACAGTATTCCAGTTATATCACAGCGTCTCAGCTTAATGTGGGAGGAAAGCCCCAAGTGATGCAGGTCACGGACGTTTACCACTTCGGTGAAACCCACAAGGATGGGTATGGTCCTGACAAACCTAGAAACTTAATCGGGGCGAACCGGGATTCAAACCCACAATCATAGGTTTCTGGCGTGCCCAAGGGACGCAACTCTGCACAGCAAATCCCAGCACCTTAGACGACTGGGCCACCTGTGGCCCCCAGCCGAGACAGAGGTGTGACACAATGGTATATGTTGGCCATGGTAAGAGGACAAATTATCCTCAGTCTGGGTGTGCCTGACTGGTCACAGATGTCAAAGGATTGTGTGATTTAAATGTATACTTATGAAGATGGCTCTAGCCTGCCTCACAATATGCAAAACAATCAATGATAATAATAAAATATGCATGTTTGTATTATGCTGTATCCACATCTTTAAGCAAGATCCTAGTGCTCAACAATTGTAATTCTAGTCATCAGATCATTGTTAGTTCAAACCGCATTGTCAACTCCCTTAGGAGTATTCTAGCCAAGGAGCCTCCTGTTAGGCGTATGGTCACAGAATGATTACTGCAGGTAGAAATGATGGCAGAGAATTGCCTCTTGCTGTAGCAGGGTCAGGGACCACAAGCTGGTGTGCAGGATTCAAACTTGCCTTTCTGTCAAAAGGCGGTACTCAATTGTAGCTGACCTGGAAAAAAATGTATTTTATATACATGTATTAAACTGTCATTTTAAACTGTTTGGTATTGACATTAGTAATATTGTATTTAACTTTAATTTTGAAAATTTGAGTAGAATATTTTGTTTGAAAGCTAGTTGTAAACTCTGAAATAGTTATGAGTGAAACTACCTGTACACAATGTAGTTTGGGCCAGTTAAGTGATCTGCTATTTAGCGAGACATCAACTTAAGGATCGGTTTTGACCACCTGTCAGAGGCCAATGCGCTGTGGTTATGTCTCTCTCTCTGTTCACTGCCTCATAATTCCCCTGTATCTTTAGAGCAAGAATTAATTATACAACATTGCTGTTATGGAGAGTTAGCTCTGGATTCCACTACCAAGTACAAGATGTATTCAGAATTGGTCAGCCAAGAGACATCTACTTGGTATTCTTTCACTGAGAATTATTCCTATAGGAAAACATAATACCTTATTGTGACATATGTTCGTATTCTTGCTCTGTAATGAGTTCATGTTCATGGGAATTATAGCCTGTAGCATGTATGCATGTCCATTGTGCAAACTGATGAGTGTGCAGTTACAATCAGACCTTCAGTCTTATGTCCAATGTGGCAATCCTGGAATAACCACTTTAATGTCCAAAAATTGTTCTCTGCATAACAATAACGTTACCGTATTCGACGTAATAAGCTTCCCGCTCTAATAAGCGCCCACGGCTATATTTGCTAATATATTGGCTAGTGAACAATCCCAGTTAGCACCCTTTCCAACTGATCAATATATACAAGACTTATTTATTCGTGTATTATACGCACTCGTTTGTTATATGCACCCTTAATTATGGGCAATTAAATTCTCGAAAATATATCTATCGTGTACAATACACACAGATTCTTCTTTTATATCATTTCAGGCTGTCAGCATAAACCACAAAATTTACAATCTTTAGACCTCGTTTTTAATCTCAACAAAATTATATTCTAATAAGAGCCCCCTATTTCTAATTTTGAGAGCGCCCTGAGCGCTTATTACGTCGAATACAGTAATTACCATTCGGAGGATTTAGTGTGTCCGAATACTTTTTGGTATAAGACTCATATGAAGTGGACCAAGTTTCTATCATGTTTGTGTTTGGTACCAAAGAGATGATGTGTTGTCACTAAGCATTACCAAGAAGTTCTCAGATTGACAAGTGAACATGACATCAGTGGCTATGTGCATTACCTAACTAGCCTCTGATTCCTCCTTTTCTCAAGTCCAGGGCCCATTCCACACAGGGATCTTAGCACTAAGGTGATCCCTTACTTTAACATAGGCTTACGATCATCGTACCGCTAAGATCACGTTGTGGAATGGGCCCTGGTTCAGAAGGTGTGATGTGAAGTCATGATGGTTGCACACATGGATATGTAGACATATATAGGATGAGATTGTCACCTATTTATTTTTTTACTGTATTTTAACAATGATCATTTTTTGGTTTCCAGGTCAAATATATCTTGACACAATGAAGAAAAATGTGGTAAGAACACATCTCTTGAAAAATGCAATTCTATGTTCTTTCTGTGTGGTTAGCAAGTATTGTATGGAACAGCTTCATAAATGAATTATTCTGAAAAAAGATGGATAGTCTATTAGAGAGTTGTAGCCAAGTGTGTTTCCTTATTGAAAATATCATATGATAGGAATACGATTTGTATTTTGCAAGCCTTTTGTTCTCTTTATTCCTAATACGGTTTATTCCTTATGATACAGAAACTTAAGACAGTAATATCTCTTTATCATATCAAATGTCATTCTTACATAGGGGATGTTTAAGGTGTTATTTCGTTCAATGAAGTAGCTTAAGAAGCCACATGTATATATTTTGATCTGCCAAATTTACCATACGTTCACCTTTAATTTTGTTAATCACCTAACAGTGTGGTACAAGAAGCAGTTATAAGTGTGTTCAATACGTGAACTCTACAATGTATGTGATGGTTGTGTTGCAGCCATCTAACGAGGACAAGTTGTCAGGCTTCTGCGTCATCTGCAGTCATCAATCAAAGAACAATCAAGTGAGTGCTGTATATTAACGATGTTAACAGGTTGCCAGTTATAATATTTTGGAGAAACCTCCTCTTGCTCTGTACATAAGAAGCATGAGAGTTATGCATATGTTTACCATCAGCCTAGGGCTCTCCATCTTTTGTGTAACTGAATGAACAACTGTGGCTTATTTGGACTAGTGGTTTATGTAAAATTGCTAGATTTTGGTAGTCTGTAAGTCTCTCTGGATTTTCACTAGTCCTGGACAAACGGACTGGTGGCCATGTCTGTGCTTTTATTTTAAAAGTAATAATTTTTTTACCCATTTGCGCTATTTTTCATATTTAAAAGAAACAAAAACAATTATGAACAAGAAAGCACCTGTTACAAATGACAATGTAATTCATTTTGAACAAATGATAAGTCACCTTCTCTGTCAAAAATGAATACTGGTCAGTGAACAGTGTCTGGTGGTCAGCCTCGCTGACTTGTTTAATGCATGTCATCGTATCCCAATTGCGTAGATTGATGCTCATGATGTCAATAACTGGATTGTCCGGGTCCAGACTCGATTATTTACAGGCCGCCGTCAAATAGCTGGAATATTGCTGAGTGCAGCATTAAACAACAAACAAACATGAATGTAATTTAATTGGAATGCTGTTTTTAGAATTTTGTCATTTGAGTTAGTTTCAAAATGAAGCTGTTTATGGTGAGTCCAGGGAATTTATCATAATCACTCTGGATAATGAAGGATTGGCACCACAACGTAGCTGGAATACTTGAGCCTTCTTTCTTTCTTTAGCTGACATCATGATGTATACCTTGTTAACTGTAATATTGTTCAAAGTGGCTTTAAAACATCTCACTTGTTTGAAGTACTCTGTGTCTTCCCAGCTATGCAGTAATTGCAGTGAAAGTAGAGATTACTCTCACTATCTGATCTTGCATGTGTGGTACTGTATGGAAAGTAATTGACCTTGGTGTCATGTTATTCAGGGCTTTTTCAACCATCGGAAAAACGAAATGCACTTACGTCAGGAGGCGAGGATAGCAGAGATGCCAGAGAAGATTCGGAGGCAGATAGACAAAGTTGTGAATGAACTGTATGCTCTCAGAGAGAAGCACAAGTACCTCATGTGAGTAGGCACAGTGCATACCAGTTTCAGCTTTTCAAAACCTATAAAGTTAAATGCATGTGTCGATAATGTGTTAAATGAGCAGACGCACATGAATTGGTATGTGTAACAGGGTTTCAGAATACCATGCTTGATTCTCCTGATGGAGTGTTGGACCAGTAAATTTCTGTATTTTAGTTGCCTCTGTGAAAACCTGTCTAGAAGCTAGAATGAATTATTAACACACTGAGATTTAGGCATTGTAACTCACGAATTCATTTCATGTCAAGAAAGTTGCTATGTGAATAGTTGTACCTGCGTGCCGTTGTACAAAGGGATCTTAGTGCTGAGGTGATCGTAACACCCATACTTTAACATAGGCTTACGATCACTGTAGCACTAAGGTTGTTATGTACAACGACACCCTGGTCTTCTTACCAAGTCTTTATCACCCTATCGGATTCAGGGTTAGAGCTGGTGCCCAGCAACCTATGGAGGTCGTAAGAGTTGACCAAATGGATCGGGTGGTCAAGTTCGGTGACTTGATTGATTGTGTATCTTCTACCTTGATGGCGTGGACTTTTTTTCACAATATCAGTCACTGGATTGTCTGGTCATACTCAGTTATTTACAGGCCTCCATTATATGGCTGGAATATGCATCATGCGGTGTTAAACAACAAACAAAAGAGAGTTGTCACTGTAGCAGTCTTCAGAAGATCCAGGGTGGAATAGGTCTTCAGCAACCCATGCTTGTCGTAAGAGGCGACTATGCTTTATCTTTATGTGTGATATTATCTGCAGCATGTACACTAGAGCCCTGTGTGTTGTGTTTGTTGTGCAGGTACTGTGCTGTCTGTGAGGAGAAGCTGCCTGTCCCCTACTCGGATCACAAGAACATGATTACACATACGGTAAGTGAGTGAGTCAGTTTGAATTTACGCCGAAATAGCAATATTCTGGCAATATCACGGCGGGGGACGCCAGAAATGGGCTTCATACATTGTACCAATGTAGGGAATCGAACCCGGGTCTTCTGCATGACGAGCAAACGCTTTAACCACTAGGCTAACCCACTGCCCTACAGCTGTTGTAAGTCTGTGCACGAGTTACACACAACTTGGGACATTTTGTAGCATCCGCTAAATGTGCATCAAGTCATTCAACAAGGTTTAAGTTGAAATATAGGGGCACAGGTGGTTCTATCTACTGTTTATTACATTAAGTAATACGTTACCACTGTTATACCGAGGCTGTTGTCTCCCACAACTGCTGCTATAGCGAAATCTACCACAGAGATCTCAATTACCTCATGCAGCACGTGCGTAGCCACCTAGCTGCCATGTGACACCCTTCACTCTTGTCTCCTTCGTCTGCTTAGCAAGACGTGTTTTCTCCTGCTGAAGCGTTCCTGGAAGATTTGGTGATATTTATTATAGTTTATTCTCTAATAAACTGTGCTTTTATGGGGCGTTGCGGTAGCTACGCTTGGTTATAATTTTCCCGCCAAACGGAAAATTTTTCCCGCCCTTTTTTCTCTATACTTGCGGGGTTCGCGTATGCACGTTGTGTTTTACGTTTCCCCTGTTCTTGTATGTTTTGGGGGTTAACATAACTTATTTCTTTAATAAAAGTTATATGTGTATGTTATATGTTCACATTGCTCGTTTATTTTCTTGTGAAAATGCTCGTTTGTGAATCGTTGTGGTGCGTGCGTTGTAACCATGTTTTGTTCTTTGTTTATAGCAAACAATGTCTGACATGGATATGTCCCCAGTATCCACCCCCTCTACCCCTGCTCCTCGGAGTTGTGGGGTGTGCAGAAAGTTTTTGTCATCCCGGGATCCCCACGATCGTTGCCCGCGGTGCAGGGTTCCTTGCGGGGACACCCGGTGTACCCTGTGCGAAGGTCTGGGGCCTGCGGAGTTTGAGCGGTACCGGCTGTACGTACAGTCCGTCTCCACCCCTGTGGTGGCCGGTTCGTCCGGTCGGGGTCCCCGTGCGGGTACCACCTCCTCGGCTGCGGCGGATCCCCTTGCGGCCCTCGGGCTGTCTGGGGCTTCCGTCGCCGCATTATTGTCGAAACTTGTGGACTCCAAGCTGGCGGCCTTATCGCAAGATAGGCCGCTGGCTGTTCCGTCCCCGGCCTCTTCGGTGGCCGCGGGTTCGGACGCGGGGTCCACCGGTACGGCGGCGGCTGCCGTGGTTACCGGTCCTTCCCCCGAACCGTTGCTTCCGCTATCGGTTAAGGACCGCGTTGCCATGGTGTATGACCTCTTCGAGGACATGCCAAAGCCCCTGCCGATACCGCGGGGAATCCACGGTTCCATGGGTTCCTCCGAGGTATATGACGAGACGTCCGACAAGGCTTTCCCGGCATCAACCTTGCTGCGCGGGATTAAGCCTTCTTTGGAGAAGGCCTTCACGGCTGCCTCCGGTCGGGGTCTCCCGTTACCTCCCCCGTCGTGGAGAAAAGGGTCTTTCCCAGTACATGACCTTGCCTTTCCCGAGGCTGGTCCTTCTGCGGAAGCCCATGTGGAGCGTTTGGGGGTCCGTGCCCCACCGGTTGCCACGGTACCACAAGGTACCTTGCAACAGCTGGACACCCTCGCTCGACACTCCATGCTGGCAATGTCTCACGGAGACACATACCTGGCTGCAGCGGTTCACCCACGGACCGAGACCAGCGCATTTACAACTGCTTGCTCGGTTTGAATGCTTCCCTGGAGTACGTTGCCGGGGCTTCGGCCTTTGTTTCCGGCACGTGCCATTTTCTTCGGCGCCAGTCGTATCTGGTTGCTTCAGGGTTGGACGCTGCTAATCAGGAGGTGCTCCTTTCGCAGCCTTGGTCTGCTCGGACCCTGTTTAATAACAAGATCCCTGGGGTTCTGAAGGAACAACAGGCCGCTGTGTCTGCCGAGGCCTCTCGGCACACACTGGATCTTGTGGGGTCCTTGCATAGGCGCCTGGGTGCCGCTCCGAAGCGGAGCGCGCCCCAGGATGCTGCGTCCGGCAGGCCTAAGGGGTCGGGTCCTTCTTCCTCCGGGAAGAAGCCCCGCTCTGAGGGCTCCGGTAAGGGTTCTCAGCAGCCCTTTCGCGGGAAGAAGGGGAACTGGGGGAAGCCCAAGTTGTCTAAGGACGGCAAGGGCCCCTCCAGGTGACTCTCATTGGAGGGGTTCGTATGCCGACAGCGCCAACTTCGGTTGGCCCGTAGGCGAACCCGAGTCACTTGGCCCTGGACAGTTGCGCCTGCCGCAGCCCGTCCGGCCCCCCTCTCTTTCCCCAGTGGGAGCCAGACTCCAGACTTACTGGGAGAATTGGGAACAAGTGTTCGACGACCCGTGGGTGGTCAACACGATTCGGTACGGCTATCGGCTCGATCTCATAGCGAATCCGCCGCTCACCGTTGCCCCGTCGGCAGGTTTCTATTCGGAAACCGATCTTCCCTTCCTCGCCGATGCCATCGGCAGGTTGGTGGAGAAGAGGGCAGTTCGGGAGTTAGCTCTACCAGAAATAACACCGGGGTTTTACTCCAGGATATTTCTCGTTCCCAAGAAGGACAGTGCCGAACTCAGAATGATTCACAACTTGAAATCGTTCAACGAGTTCTACCTGCGCAAACCGCCCAAGTTCAGAATGTTGAGCTTGACGGACCTGAAAGCACTGATCATGCCGGCCGACTGGCTAGCTTCGATCGACCTGAAGGATGCTTATCTGCATGTTCCGATTCACTCGGATCATCAGAAGTATCTCAGGTTTGTCTTTCAAGGCAGGCACTACGAGTGGGTTGTACTCCCATTCGGTCTTTCATCCGCTCCCTGGCTGTTCACCCGGTTAACCACCCCCATAGTGGGGTTCCTCCACCGGAGGGGTGTCCGGTACTTCGCGTACCTGGACGACTCGCTAGTAGCAAATCGAATGTCGGACACCCTGTCACGCCATCTCGTTTTCGCACGTCGGCTCTTGGAGCAATTGGGGTGGATTGTCAATCTCCCCAAGAGCGAGTTAACCCCTTCTCAGAACTTGCAGTTCATCGGAGGTCGGTTCAACACGGTGTCCCATCGCCTATTTGTCCCCCCAGACCGGTGGCACAAAATTCAGGCGATGATTGCCAAAGTCTTAGCGGTGCAACAGACTGTTCACTTTTGGGAACAGCTGTTAGGGCTACTTGTATCAGCCCAGGACTGCACCGAACGGGGTCGTCTCCAACTCCGCCCGCTGCAACGGTTTTTAATCCAGTTGTTAGCAACGGAGGTGAACAGTGCGACCGTCGCCCTCCCGGATCGGCTCCGACCGCATCTGGAGTGGTGGACGCTCCCTTACAATGTCTTATCAGGAGTCTCTATGCGGCCCTACCGGGCCACGTTGAACCTGTATACAGACGCCTCTCTAGTGGGCTGGGGCGCCCATCTAGAGGGGGAGGTGAGCTCGGGGCCGTGGTGCGTAGACGAACTAGGTCTTCACATCAATTGTCTCGAGTTCAAGGCAGTGATCAACGCAGTCAATCACTGGAAGCATCGTCTCGTCGACGCCCGGCTCATGCTGGCGACCGACAACACGACGGTAGTGTCCTATGTGAACAAACTGGGGGGAACCCACAGTCACTCGCTACTCGATCTCACGTTCGAGTTTTACGCTCTGGTGGACAATGTCCCGTGCCAGATACGCGCCCGTCACATCCCAGGTGTGCGGAACGTACTGGCCGATGCTCTATCGAGGCCTCAGGATCCGAGCCCCACAGAGTGGATGCTGAACCCAGTGGTGTTTCAGTGGCTGTGCGAACGTTTGGGTCGTCCGATGGTCGACCTGTTCGCAACACGGTTCAACAATCAACTCCCGTTGTTTGTATCACCAGTCCCGGACCCGAGGGCCATCGATCACGATGCTCTCGCGTTAGACTGGACGGGCTTGGACGCTTATGCTTACCCGCCGACAGCGTTGATACCACACATTCTAAGCCGGCTTCGAGGAGTTCGCTGTCGAATGTTACTGATCGCGCCCATGTGGCCGAACAGATCGTGGTACCCCGACTTGCTGACCCAGGTCACGCAGTCGCCACTCCCACTGCCTGTGAGACCGGATCTCTTGATCCACCCTCACACCCGTCAGCTTCATCCAAACGCAGGGCAGTTCAATCTGCACGCGTGGATGTTGTCACCGAGCGTCTGAGGAGTAAAGGTTTTTCTCGCCGGGCGTCTCGGGCATACGTTAGTATGCATCGTGATTCTACCCAGAAGGTGTATAATGCACGTTGGGTTATTTTCACGAAGTGGTGTTGTAAATATCACATTCATTCGCCAGATAAGTTATCTGTGCAGGATATTGCTCGTTTCATGTCTCACTTGCGAGAGACCCGGAAACTCTCCGGGGGTTCCATTGCCAACTATGTCTCGTCCGTTGCTACGGTACGGGACGTTGCTATGGGTACCAGTCTCTCCAAAGAGCCGGTGATACGGGGTATTATCAAGGGTTTCAAACAGCACGATCTTAAGAAGGGCCGCCTTCGGGCACCGGCCTGGGATCTTTCCCTAGTGTTGCAATCACTCACGGAAGCTCCGTATGAACCCTTGCATAGTGCTTCGTTCCGGCATGTGACTTGGAAAACAGCATTTCTCCTCTCCTTTGCCACGGCGGCACGTGTATCCGAAATTCATGCACTCGATGTCGCCAAGGTACGATTCGATAGGGGTGACGAAGGAGCGGTCCGCCTGGGCCTGCTCATGGGCTTCGTCGCGAAGAATCAGAGAGTCGGGCAAACGGAGAGAGAATTCACTGTAAGATCCCTCAAAGAAATCTTACATCCTGCTGATACTGAGGACAGAGCGCTGTGTCCGGTTAGGGCCCTTAAGTATTATCTTAAGGCTTCGAATGAACGTAGACAAGGGCGTGACCGTCTGTTCATATCGTGTAACCCTAATCGCACGGTTGACATAACTCGCAACTCGATTGCGTTGTGGCTTCGTTCTGTCATCAATCTGGCGTACCGGTCTCGGGGGTTACCGGTAGCGGGGTCAAACCCGCACGAGATCAGGGCGCTAGCGGCAACATTTGCCCTACACTCGAATATCTCTGTTCACAGAATATTACGAGGTTGTTACTGGCGTTCTGACTCGGTTTTTGCCAATCATTACCTCAGAAAGGTTTCTGATGAAGACGTGGAGGGGGTGCACCGTCTTGGGCCGCTGATCGCGGCACAAGCGGTCATCTAGGGGGTGTGTCCAGCGCAATTCCAAACTCCGCAGTCGTCAGTCCTTGCACGGTGGTCAATCTGGGTCGTCTCCAATGTTCCCACGCCGTGGGTACAGGAGTGGGGGTCCTGCAAACCAGCGCACTCACACCACAGGTGAGGCGGCTTTTTGTGTGTTTTGTCCTTATTTGTATTTTGACAATTATGCATTTAATTGTCTGTCGTGTATTCCAACCTTGCGATACATGCTTACGAATACTGGAATTAGGTCACGCGCCTAATGCATACTTTAAGTAGGCTTGCTCTGGGATATACGGTCTGAAGGAAATTAATTTCCCTCTTTTCGACTGTTTAACCTGATCTAAGATTTAGCTCACGCGGATACAGTGTTCTCATCCGCTGCGGCGATGAAATACCTATCCAGTGGGGCCGTTTGGAGTCACCAATCGTTTTGGCATTGACAATTGAGCCTTACGGTATGCGCTTGACAGTGCTTTGGTATTCCTATAGGGTAACGCCTAGCTAGGTGCATGCGCATCGAGTGCTTCCGCCTTGGTGTTTACTTCCGCTGGTCGGAAGGAACGCTAGCAGTCAGGATTCGGGTTGTAGGTGCTCCCCACCGCCTACTGTGGTAGTCAGCCTCGGTATAACAGTGGTAACGTATTACTTAATGTAATTTGTAGAATTTTCCTATTCGGAATATTCTATAAGTAATACGTTACCACTGGGCTGCTGCCCGCCCGTCCGTCCCCCGAGCACTTGCTCTCGCAGGAGACAAGAGTGAAGGGTGTCACATGGCAGCTAGGTGGCTACGCACGTGCTGCATGAGGTAATTGAGATCTCTGTGGTAGATTTCGCTATAGCAGCAGTTGTGGGAGACAACAGCCTCGGTATAACAGTGGTAACGTATTACTTATAGAATATTCCGAATAGGAAAATTCTACAAAATTTAAAATAATAATTGTGGGGCACAGGAGCCCCTTTTGTTTAAGGCACCACAATGTGTAGATTCTGCTGCGTAGATTCTGGTGCGTAGGTTCTGCTGCTTAGATTCATGCCAGGATCCACTGATCGTTGGTTCAGATCTCTGGTTTGAAGTGATTAACGTCCTTTGTTAGCACCATACCTGGGCTTTGTGTTTCACCAAGGTGATAAATGTCTTGCGCTTTGTCTCTTCAGCTTTCCTAAACAGTGTGTGCGGGTAGAATAGGTCTTCAGCAACCCATGCTTGCCGTACGTGGTGACTATGCTTGTCGTAAGAGCGACTAACGGGATAGTGTGGTCAGGCTTGCTGACTTGTTTGATGAATGTCATCAATTCCGATTGTATGGATTGATGATCATGATGTCAAAAACTGGATTGCCTGGTTCAGACTCAGAATTTTCTCAAACCACCGTCATATAGATGGAATATTGCCGAGTGCGGCTTTAAACAACAAACAAACAAACTCAACAATGTGTGCAGTGATATGACTGAAATACTGGTCAATACGTTACGATTTATACTGGTTCATGACCCCTGTTAAAATCAGGGTTAGAATTGGTCACCCATGCTTGTCCTAATCATAAGAGGCAACTAACGGGATTGGGTGGTCAGGCTTGCTGACTTGGTTGATTGCATGTCATCGTATCCTAATTACATAGACCGTTGCTCATGATATCCCAGGATTGTCTGGTCCACACTCGATTATTTACAGACCGCCGTCATATACCTGGAATATTTCAGAGTGTGGCATTAAACAACAAACAAACCATCCTAGCCCATGTGGCAAGCATGCAGTGATGGATAGCCTTGTGAATGCAGAGCTCAACAAATACACTGGTCACTTAAGTTAGCTTTTATCAGTGTAAAATGTCAGCTACTCTATTCATTTTGTTGAAGTGTCTCCGACTTAAGGAATAGGAATTGGCATACTGATGTGAGGTTGGGTGTGAAATTGGTGTGCCACTTCTTGGATAGTTTATGAGGGAGTCTGTGATTGTGTTCTCCACAGACCAAGGCAAGAGCTACGCGAGCTGGGTGTCGGACATGTAAGACTGGTCCCATGAAGACCTACAAGCAGTTCAGGGAACACTGTTACACAGAGACCCACATTCAGGTGAGTACAGACTAGTAGACAAACCTACAAGCAGTTCAGGGAACACTGTTACACAGAGACCCACATTCAGGTGAGTACAGACTAGTAGACAAACCTACAAGCAGTTCAGGGAACACTGTTACACAGAGACCCACATTCAGATGAGTGCAGACTAGTAGACAAACCTACAAGCAGTTCAGGGAACACTGTTACACAGAGACCCACATTCAGGTGAGTGCAGACTAGTAGACAAACCTACAAGCAGTTCAGGGAACACTGTTACACAGAGACCCACATTCAGGTGAGTGCAGACTAGTAGACAAACCTACAAGCAGTTCAGGGAACACTGTTACACAGAGACCCACATTCAGGTGAGTGCAGACTAGTAGACAAACCTACAAGCAGTTCAGGGAACACTGTTACACAGAGACCCACATTCAGGTGAGTACAGACTAGTAGACAAACCTACAAGCAGTTCAGGGAACACTGTTACACAGAGACCCACATTCAGGTGAGTGCAGACTAGTAGACAAACCTACAAGCAGTTCAGGGAACACTGTTACACAGAGACCCACATTCAGGTGAGTACAGACTCTCTAGTAGACAAACCTACAAGCAGTTCAGGGAACACTGTTACACAGAGACCCACATTCAGGTGAGTACAGACTAGTAGACAAACCTACAAGCAGTTCAGGGAACACTGTTACACAGAGACCCACATTCAGGTGAGTGCAGACTAGTAGACAAACCTACAAGCAGTTCAGGGAACACTGTTACACAGAGACCCACATTCAGGTGAGTGCAGACTAGTAGACAAACCTACAAGCAGTTCAGGGAACACTGTTACACAGAGACCCACATTCAGGTGAGTACAGACTAGTAGACAAACCTACAAGCAGTTCAGGGAACACTGTTACACAGAGACCCACATTCAGGTGAGTACAGACTAGTAGACAAACCTACAAGCAGTTCAGGGAACACTGTTACACAGAGACCCACATTCAGGTGAGTACAGTCTAGTAGACAAACCTACAAGCAGTTCAGGGAACACTGTTACACAGAGACCCACATTCAGGTGAGTGCAGACTAGTAGACAAACCTACAAGCAGTTCAGGGAACACTGTTACACAGAGACCCACATTCAGGTGAGTACAGACTCTCTAATAGACAAACCTACAAGCAGTTCAGGGAACACTGTTACACAGAGACCCACATTCAGGTGAGTACAGACGAGTAGACAAACCTACAAGCAGTTCAGAGAACACTGTTACACAGAGACCCACATTCAGGTGAGTACAGACTAGTAGACAAACCTACAAGCAGTTCAGGGAACACTGTTACACAGAGACCCACATTCAGGTGAGTACAGACTAGTAGACAAACCTACAAGCAGTTCAGGGAACACTGTTACACAGAGACCCACATTCAGGTGAGTACAGTCTAGTAGACAAACCTACAAGCAGTTCAGGGAACACTGTTACACAGAGACCCACATTCAGGTGAGTGCAGACTAGTAGACAAACCTACAAGCAGTTCAGGGAACACTGTTACACAGAGACCCACATTCAGGTGAGTACAGACTCTCTAATAGACAAACCTACAAGCAGTTCAGGGAACACTGTTACACAGAGACCCACATTCAGGTGAGTACAGTCTAGTAGACAAACCTACAAGCAGTTCAGGGAACACTGTTACACAGAGACCCACATTCAGGTGAGTGCAGACTAGTATACAAACCTACAAGCAGTTCAGGGAACACTGTTACACAGAGACCCACATTCAGGTGAGTACAGACTAGTAGACAAACCTACAAGCAGTTCAGGGAACACTGTTACACAGAGACCCACATTCAGGTGAGTGCAGACTAGTAGACAAACCTACAAGCAGTTCAGGGAACACTGTTACACAGAGACCCACATTCAGGTGAGTGCAGACTAGTAGACAAACCTACAAGCAGTTCAGGGAACACTGTTACACAGAGACCCACATTCAGGTGAGTGCAGACTAGTAGACAAACCTACAAGCAGTTCAGGGAACACTGTTACACAGAGACCCACATTCAGGTGAGTGCAGACTAGTAGACAAACCTACAAGCAGTTCAGGGAACACTGTTACACAGAGACCCACATTCAGGTGAGTACAGACTAGTAGACAAACCTACAAGCAGTTCAGGGAACACTGTTACACAGAGACCCACATTCAGGTGAGTGCAGACTAGTAGACAAACCTACAAGCAGTTCAGGGAACACTGTTACACAGAGACCCACATTCAGGTGAGTACAGACTCTCTAGTAGACAAACCTACAAGCAGTTCAGGGAACACTGTTACACAGAGACCCACATTCAGGTGAGTACAGACTAGTAGACAAACCTACAAGCAGTTCAGGGAACACTGTTACACAGAGACCCACATTCAGGTGAGTGCAGACTAGTAGACAAACCTACAAGCAGTTCAGGGAACACTGTTACACAGAGACCCACATTCAGGTGAGTGCAGACTAGTAGACAAACCTACAAGCAGTTCAGGGAACACTGTTACACAGAGACCCACATTCAGGTGAGTACAGACTAGTAGACAAACCTACAAGCAGTTCAGGGAACACTGTTACACAGAGACCCACATTCAGGTGAGTACAGACTAGTAGACAAACCTACAAGCAGTTCAGGGAACACTGTTACACAGAGACCCACATTCAGGTGAGTACAGTCTAGTAGACAAACCTACAAGCAGTTCAGGGAACACTGTTACACAGAGACCCACATTCAGGTGAGTGCAGACTAGTAGACAAACCTACAAGCAGTTCAGGGAACACTGTTACACAGAGACCCACATTCAGGTGAGTACAGACTCTCTAATAGACAAACCTACAAGCAGTTCAGGGAACACTGTTACACAGAGACCCACATTCAGGTGAGTACAGACGAGTAGACAAACCTACAAGCAGTTCAGAGAACACTGTTACACAGAGACCCACATTCAGGTGAGTACAGACTAGTAGACAAACCTACAAGCAGTTCAGGGAACACTGTTACACAGAGACCCACATTCAGGTGAGTACAGACTAGTAGACAAACCTACAAGCAGTTCAGGGAACACTGTTACACAGAGACCCACATTCAGGTGAGTACAGTCTAGTAGACAAACCTACAAGCAGTTCAGGGAACACTGTTACACAGAGACCCACATTCAGGTGAGTGCAGACTAGTAGACAAACCTACAAGCAGTTCAGGGAACACTGTTACACAGAGACCCACATTCAGGTGAGTACAGACTCTCTAATAGACAAACCTACAAGCAGTTCAGGGAACACTGTTACACAGAGACCCACATTCAGGTGAGTACAGTCTAGTAGACAAACCTACAAGCAGTTCAGGGAACACTGTTACACAGAGACCCACATTCAGGTGAGTGCAGACTAGTATACAAACCTACAAGCAGTTCAGGGAACACTGTTACACAGAGACCCACATTCAGGTGAGTACAGACTAGTAGACAAACCTACAAGCAGTTCAGGGAACACTGTTACACAGAGACCCACATTCAGGTGAGTGCAGACTAGTAGACAAACCTACAAGCAGTTCAGGGAACACTGTTACACAGAGACCCACATTCAGGTGAGTGCAGACTAGTAGACAAACCTACAAGCAGTTCAGGGAACACTGTTACACAGAGACCCACATTCAGGTGAGTGCAGACTAGTAGACAAACCTACAAGCAGTTCAGGGAACACTGTTACACAGAGACCCACATTCAGGTGAGTGCAGACTAGTAGACAAACCTACAAGCAGTTCAGGGAACACTGTTACACAGAGACCCACATTCAGGTGAGTACAGACTAGTAGACAAACCTACAAGCAGTTCAGGGAACACTGTTACACAGAGACCCACATTCAGGTGAGTACAGACTAGTAGACAAACCTACAAGCAGTTCAGGGAACACTGTTACACAGAGACCCACATTCAGGTGAGTACAGACTAGTAGACAAACCTACAAGCAGTTCAGGGAACACTGTTACACAGAGACCCACATTCAGGTGAGTACAGACTAGTAGACAAACCCACAAGCAGTTCAGGGAACACTGTTACACAGAGACCCACATTCAGGTGAGTACAGACTAGTAGACAAACCTACAAGCAGTTCAGGGAACACTGTTACAAAGAGACCCACATTCAGATGAGTGCAGACTAGTAGACAAACCTACAAGCAGTTCAGGGAACACTGTTACACAGAGACCCACATTCAGGTGAGTGCAGACTAGTAGACAAACCCACAAGCAGTTCAGGGAACACTGTTACACAGAGACCCACATTCAGGTGAGTGCAGACTAGTAGACAAACCTACAAGCAGTTCAGGGAACACTGTTACACTGAGACCCACATTCAGGTGAGTACAGACTCTCTAGTGGACAAACCTACAAGCAGTTCAAGGAACACTGTTACACAGAGACCCACATTCAGGTGAGTACAGACTCTCTAGTAGACAAACCTACAAGCAGTTCAAGGAACACTGTTACACAGAGACCCACATTCAGGTGAGTACAGACTCTCTAGTAGACAAACCTACAAGCAGTTCAAGGAACACTGTTACACAGAGACCCACATTCAGGTGAGTACAGACTCTCTAGTAGACAAACCTACAAGCAGTTCAGGGAACACTGTTACACAGAGACCCACATTCAGGTGAGTACAGACTCTCTAGTACACAAACCTACAAGCAGTTCAGGGAACACTGTTACACTGAAACCCACATTCAGGTGAGTACAGACTAGTAGACAAACCTACAAGCAGTTCAGGGAACACTGTTACACAGAGACCCACATTCAGGTGAGTACAGACTCTCTAGTAGACAAACCTACAAGCAGTTCAGGGAACACTGTTACACTGAAACCCACATTCAGGTGAGTGCAGACTAGTAGACAAACCTACAAGCAGTTCAGGGAACACTGTTACACAGAGACCCACATTCAGGTGAGTGCAGACTAGTAGACAAACCTACAAGCAGTTCAGGGAACACTGTTAC